AACACAAATTTCAAGAAAGATCATGGTTATCGAGGCTTTGACAGACTGGAAAACTTGGGTCATGGTGGTGTTTGTATTGTCCATCAATATCAGCAATGGTGCCTTGGTGACATTTGCAGCACAAATTGTCTCAGGTTTAGGTTACTCACCGATCAGAACTACCTTGCTTGGAATGCCCACTGGAGTGTTTATGACATTAAGCAGTTGGCTCATTGCCTTGCCTGGTCTCTACTTCCCCAAGAAATTCCGTACCATATGTGCTGGTACCATCTGCTTATGTCCTTTGATTTGCTGTGCATTGATGATGACTCTCCACAACAAACATGGTTTGCTCGTTGCTTACTATTTCTTTTACTTCTACTGGGGTCCTTACGTATGTATGACGTCGTTGTCCATGGCCAACACCTCGGGCCATACAAAAAAGACTATCGTCAATACGGTGAATTTTGTGTCTTATTGTGTGTCCAACATCATTGCTCCACAATTCTTTCTCGCCAAACAGGCACCTCATTACCTTACTGGTTATCATGCTATTTTAGGCTTTACCTCCGCAGCTTGTCTTTCAATTTTGGCTTATGGTGCTGGATGCTATATGGAAAATGCTAGGAGAGACAAGCTCTACGGACCACCATCATTGGATTTTGAAGAGGATGCCAAAAGATTTGACAGATAAGCAAAAGGCCAAGAATTTTCGATACGTTTGGTAGAAGCTTCTTAAGGAGTTGTAAGGGTTCTCTCAGCCCCACTTGTTCTATAATTACGAATTTGCAGCCGAGTCAACGGGCTTATACACCCGAACCTTGACGAGCTTGGCACGAGTAATTTGGTAGGTGAACTATTCAAGAATGATGAACTAGAATTGATAAAGTATCACGAGTGATAAACTATATAGATAATTGATAATGTGGAGTCGTCTATACACAACTACCCCAGTTTCTCGTCGTTTCTTGTCTTATTTTTCAACCACTCGAATCGCACTCATTACTCATCGCGAATATTCACTCATACTCATTTTCTCATTTCTCATCCATTCCGACTTTGCCCGAAATCATACCACACCAAATATTTTTCAAACACGCATGTGGCTGACTTCCAAACGGTTTCCACGGATATACCAGATGCATAAATACCCAGAATAATCGCACCACCTCCCTCACTTTCATAATGACAAAGGCTGCAAATCAAGTGTACACCATTCAACAGCTTAGTCCAGAACAAGTTAACATTGTCAAGGCTTCAGTTCCAATATTGAAAGCTCTGGGTCAGGAACTCACCAAGAACTTTTATCAGAAAATGCTCTCCAGTTATCCTGAAGTAAAGCCGTTTT